TTTAATTTTCTGAGGAAAAGAAGTGAAAACAACTTTGCTGTCTGTGTTATCTAAAATCACAAGATATGGAGATAAAAACTCAAGATGGTTCAAGGTTGAATGAAGAATTTTGATGTTAAACTATCTGTGAAAACTCATATTTAAACTATTCTTGAAAAAAAATTAATTAATTAATTAATTAGTTTTAAATTAACCAAATCCTATCACTTACAAAGATCCTATTAAGAATAATAATTTTGTGGGTGTTCAATATTTGTTGTTTATTCAATATAATAATTATTCTTACTAAATACCTTAGATAAAAATCTTAGTGTATCAATTTTCAGAACTCATACAAATACACACACACACAAAAAAAAGAAAAAGAAAAAGAAAAAAAAGAGATGTTCGTAGCTATGCCACCTGCTTGTTTGCATGGTGGTATAGGAACCATAAACCACCATCCCTCTTGGAATTTAGGGAAAGGAAAGAAACCACCATCCCTCTTGGAATTTAGGGAAAGCTTTCATTCTTGGAACTTTGAGAAAGTGAGCAAGATAAAATAATGAAAAGAATGGAAGGGAGAGAGAGATGTCTTCAACTAACATTTTATATATATATATATGCATGCAAGCCTTCCTTGTGCATGCAAGCATTCGGTAGAAGAAAAAAAAAAAAAAAAAGAGGAGAGAAATCTCTTAAGCAACCAAGTTTAGTAGTAGGAGAGGAAGAAGAGTAGGAGGTTAAGAAAACCAAAGTTCTCAACCATTTTATCACCCTACTACTAGGTAAGAAAACCCTCTCAATCCTTTCATTTTTTTTACATAATTGAAATTTTCAGATTGTGTACATATGATACATTGTCTAAATTGTGCTGAAGATAATTTATGTTGAATCTGCCAGCATGTTGCACGAATTTTTAGACAATTTTATACTCAGAATTTCGAGATGATTTCTTCTACAAAGTTGTTGATAATGATGTCTAGTTTATCCAGAAATTTTTGGAAACAATTTTCGAGCTTTCTACGAATTTATACAAATTTTTAACTAAATCTGAAACTGTGTTGAGAATAATCTGTTTTGAATCTGCCATCATGTTACCCGAATTTTTAGATAATTTTATACTCAAAATTTCGAGATGATTTCTTCTACAAAGTTGTTGATAATGATGTCTAGTTTATCCAAATATTTTTGGAAACAATTTTTGAGCTTTCTACGAATTTATACAAATTTCTAACTAAATCTGAAACTGTGAGACAGATTTTACCATGTATTTGAAAATTTATTTAAAATTCTATACTAAGCCAAATCTGGTAATTTCTAACTAAAAGATGAAATTTGAGAATTCTAGTTTCATGATAAATTTTTAGATTATGGGTTTGATCTATAAATTTAAGCATGGAATTAATGTAAGGAAATGTGACAAATCTGTGTCATAAACACCCTTGGAATTTGTTTAGAATTATTTATAAGTTATTTTTGGAAAATGCTTTCTGAAAAATAACCATAACATGTTTATTGAGTATCCTGTAGATTGATATGAATTTTAGAGTTGTATAAGTAATGTATTTATAATTTTATTTGCAAGATATATACTCTGAAAATTTTTCTGAACAGAATAAAATCACCACTTTAATATTATGCTAGTCTAATTTTGTAAATCAAAAATTTGTGCATGTGTGTATTTAGGGTTTAATTCTTGTATCTAAGTTATTATTTCATACCATGGTTTAAATAAATTGTTTATTTAAATTCTGTACTTTTATTTAGTATTGTGTGACACATGCAATATTTTATGATTGAGAATTTTAATGAGTTGGTATAGCATTACTTGTGATTAAAAATTTGAGATTATTTGTGATTAATATCAAAATTAACTGAAATGATTAACGGCATATATAAAGTTAACAATTGACGGTTAATACCAGTTGTTCGGGGTGAGTCTTGGTTTAAAGACTGTACGGAATTAAGAGTTGACGGTTAACACCGGTTGTTCAGGGTGAGCACTGGTTTTGAGAATTCTCACGTAAATTGTGTTGCGAAACTCTAAGATGGCACGAGACTTATTTGACCCATTTTCGGTATTCGGTTTTGGAATAAGGGTGGATGTGCAGGTGGCACACAGGGAGGTTACTTACCCCTGGCAGACTGTTTCCTTGGGGCAGACCACGGATGCCACTACTTGGGTATATAACTCCGGATGTGGGCATCCCTGGTAGTTACAGTTGGTAACACTTAAATATTTGACCAAGGGAGGGTTTCAAATTAACCGTTGCCATGCTTAGTGGTTGGTAAGTTAAATCTCTTTGGTGAGATTTCGAGTGTCACCTAATTTATAAAAATTACTAAAATTATTCTAATGGTTGTAATTTCTGTGTATAATTATAGGGAGATTTACCAATAAATCCCAAAATGTAAACTTATGAACCAATTGGTCCCATTTTTATTCTAGTAAACTGTTTAGTCCCATTTAATTGTGAGGGACGTAATTACCCTCATCTAACTGTTGCTCACAAATACACAGATACACATACACACACAGATACACACACATAGATACATACACACACACACACAGAGATACACACACACACACACCAGATACACACACACACAGATACACACACACACACACAGATACACACACACACAGATACATACATACACACACACAGAGATACACACACACACACAGAGATACACACACACACACAGATACACACACACATAGATACATATACACACACAGAGATACACACACAGATACACACACACAGATACATACATACATTACGAGGGGCAGACACACACACACACAATAGCTAATCGATGCGACGCCATTGCTGACCCATCAGATCTTCCTGAGCCGCCGGTTCGTGCGTCGCCCGCCGAGCTTCCGCGGTAGTCGGAGAATGATGCGCGAGCCGAAGTTGAGGGTAAGAGAGGCGACGACGGAGCAGATCGAAGAGAAGAAGAGTGATTGGGCGTACTCGAAGCCGATCGTGATTCTGGATCTGTTGTGGAACTTCGCGTTCGTGTTCGTTGCTTTGTCGCTGTTGATGGTGAGTCGGAAGGAGTTCGATTTTACTCTTTTTTGTTGTGTGGAAGGGTTTGGAGGGAACGAAATTTCAGAGAGAGAGAAGCGCGGGTGAGCTTGCAGACAGAAGGGAGGAAGAGACAGAAGGGAGGAAGATGGTGAAGTGATGGTGAAGTGAGGGATCACATTGATGGCCCCAACAGTATATGGAAACAAAACAATAATGGGTAAAATTATCCACACAGGTACACTAAATATGAAAAATAGGATTAACAAGAAATAAACTTCCCCACTGATAGGACTTATCCGAACAAAAGAATAAAGTTGGGACTAATTGGTTTAATAGTTTGTGAAATGGGATTTATTGGTAAATTTTCCATAATTATATTGTTATCTCATGTTTAGAATATTATTTTTCTCTTAAAAAGAATGGTAGGTTGGTTACGTTTTCTTACTGTGCTGCAAAACTCATGGCATATATTTTGTTGCCCTGGCGTTTCATGCCAGATTATGTTAAAGAAGGGACTGAGGCTGAAATTGGAGCTGCTACCAATATCGAACCTTGGCTGACTTAGAGTCAAGATTTTATCGAAATAAAATTCTGTTATCTCTTGTATTAGGATTTAATTATGTTGTGACGTTGGGTGTGAATTTATAGTTTTATTTTGTTGTTGGACTTTAACTATGTAAGAACTTAAAAGTTCCTAATTAGTAGTTAAAACTTTATCTAATAAGTTATCGTTATTTAAATCTTATGACGTTTCAAAAAAAAAAAAAAATTAGGCGGTATTAGGATTTAATTATGTTGTGACGTTGGGTGTGAATTTATAGTTTTATTTTGTTGTTGGACTTTAACTATGTAAGAACTTAAAAGTTCCTAATTAGTAGTTAAAACTTTATCTAACAAGTTATCGTTATTTAAATCTTATGACGTTTCAAAAAAAAAAAAATTAGGCGTCACACTATCCAAATTTTAATCCAAGTTATTTCTGTGATAATCTCAAGTTTGAATGTTGTGGGATAAATCTCAGCTGTGTTCTTGAAATTCATATATTTTCACTTGTCCTTGTGAGATAATTTCGTTTATATTTGCTTGTTCATAATTCTTTTTGCTTCATTATTTTTTTCTTAAGTTTTCTTCACTGTCTTAATTCACACCTTTATCTGTTCATTTCTTTATTTTCTTTGGCATAGTTTGGGAAGTTGGTTTTGGTAGGTTAGGGGCTAAAATAGTCACAAAAAATAAAATAAGCTATTTTAGCCACAAAAAAATAAAATATCAAATCCAACCCATAATCATTACACTCTTTTCTCATAAAAAAAAATCAAAAAAGTCAAAAAAAACTAAAAAATCCTTTCCAAATCAGACTTTTTAGTCCCAGATTAAAATAGTCAAAAAAAATTAAAAAGTTAAAAAGCCAACCCACTTTCTAAACGGAGGCTTTATTAAGTTCTTTTCACACCATTGTTTTTGAAAAAAATAAAAGAATAATATTTTATTGAAATAGAATTTTAGAATAGAAAATTTAATGAAATGTATATATAAAAAAAAGAGTAACTAAAATATAAAAATAAAATTTTAAATTATAATTTAATTTAAAATTTACTAAATTGATATGAATATTGATATGGACGACATCTTCGGAGAGAGAGAGTTACAAAAAAATGTTTGGAACATTTTTTTTTTTTTTTTTATATTGACCATTGATATGTGTGTAAAATTTATTTATATAAATTTTACATTATTATAAGTAATTGAGATGAAAATAAAAAATATGTCCTAAATCTCTAATAGGGGTGACGTCCACTGCTCCTACTATTTTTTGGTTGGCCCATTTTTTTTTTTTTTCGTTCCCTTACTGCCCTCCATGTGAAGGTAGGGTGCTGGGGTCACCCCTCGGGGTCAGCGGTGCCGGGGGTCATGTATGTTGGCGCCGCTACCACAATTGAGGGAATTATTTACTCGCTCGCTCTCTCTAGTTTTATCTATCCTGTCCTGTCCTGTCCTATCCTATCCCGCACTAAAATCTCTCTCTCTCTCTCTCTCTTACTCTCTTTCACACAACTCACACAACCTCTCTCCTCTGCAGCCCATAACCATGGATTCCGAAGCTGGCAAAGTCGAAATGTTCTTCTTCCCATTCGTGGGCGGAGGCCACTTAATCCCCATGATCGACCTCGCCAGAATCTTCGCCTCCCATGGCGTCAAAGCCACCGTCATCACCATCCCCAACGACGCCGTCGTCTTCCAAAACGCCATCGCTCGCGACCAAAACTCCGGCCTCGACATCCACCTCCACCCCCTCCCTCTCCCCCCCGGCCAACACCTCCAAACCATCACCTCCGTCGACATGTCCGCTCCTCCATTCACCGACACCTCAATCCTCCAATCCCCACTCACCCACCTCCTCCTCCTCCACCGCCCTGACTGCATCATCGCCGACTCTTTCCACCGCTGGGCCGCCGACTCTATCGACTCCATCGGCATCCCCAGACTCATCTTCAACGGCAATTGCTGCTTCTCCCGCTGCTGCGAACACAGCATCAAACTCCACGCCCCTCAGTTGAATTCAGACCCCTTTGTGTTGCCGGGTCTTCCTCATCGGATCGAACTGACGAGATCTCAGCTTTCGATTTACGCCCGATCGGGAACTGAGTTTCCGGGTAAGCCGATGAGAACGGAGCTGAACAGTTTTGGGCAAGTGATGAACAGCTTCTTCGAATTGGAACCAGAGTATGCTGAATACTTTAGAAATCAAATGGGGAGGAAAGCATGGATTATTGGTCCCGTCTCGCTGTGTAATAGAAATGTTGAGGATAAGGCTGAGAGAGGCCAGAAATCCGCCATTGATGAACACAGCTGCTTGAATTGGCTCGATTCGAAGAAACCCAATTCTGTTCTGTATGTGAGTTTCGGGAGCTTAGTTCGCATGAACCCCACACAGCTCCTCGAGCTCGCACACGGACTCGAGGCTTCCGATTGCTCCTTCATATGGGCTGTAGGAAAAATCCAAGAATCCGCCGGAGAAGATGAGAATTGGATTCCGGATGGGTTCGAAGAGAGGATGAAGAAAACCAATAAAGGACTGATAATCAAAGGTTGGGCACCGCAGTTGCTGATCTTGGAACATGCTTCCGTGGGAGGTTTCATGACACACTGTGGATGGAATTCGACGTTGGAAGGTGTGTGTGCCGGAGTGCCGATGGTGACGTGGCCGCTCTCGGCGGAGCAATTTTACAATGAGAAGCTGGTGACTGACGTGCTGAGGATAGGGATTAAGATTGGGAGCGAGGAATGGGCGTCGTGGAATATGGAGAGGAAGACTGTGGTGGGGAGGGAGAAGGTGGAGGCGGCGGTGCAGCGGTTGATGGGTGGTGGTGAGGCGGCGGAGATGGCGGCGAGGGCTAAAGATTTGGCGGAGAAGGCGAAGAGAGCGGTGGAGGAAGGTGGGTCGTCGTATAATGATGTGGAGGATTTGATTGAAGAGCTTAAGTCTCGCCGGAAAACGGAAGCCACCGCCGCCGACGAGAAGGCACAGTGAATCATGGTCCGACGTTAATATGGGTGGGAAAATTATGGGGAAATTACCTCTCACGGGTAGCTTAAAAAATAATTACAAAAACGTGATAAGTTTATGATTTTAATTTTTATTAATTTAAATAGCAAGTTATATCATTTTTGTGTATTTTTTTTTTATTAAATAAAAGAAGATAAAGATTTGTTTAAAAGGGAGTTGATTTTTTAATTATTTTAGTTTAACGTTAAAAAACCTCGTTTATGAAACATTTTTTAATTTTTTATAAAAAAAAATATATAATATTTTATCTTATTAAATCAAAAAAATAATTTTATTTTTTACGACTAAATTAGTCTCAATCTTCCCAGCGAAGCCTAAAGTAAATTTATGAGTCGAATGGGATAGAACAAGTTTTTTTCAAATTTAAGGTCAAGTTTGAGAAGACTAAAAAAGTATATTTTTTGTCTTTTTGGATTAAAAAATTGATGTTGAAAATATGGATGTTTGGGTTAATTTTTTGACTTTTTATTGAAAAATGTGTAATAAAAAATTATAAAAATTGATTTGTAGGAAAAAATTTGAATTGAGAGTTGTGCAGCCGTAATTGTTGACTTTTGATGAATATTTTGACTTTTTTAGATCTTCCCAAACTTGACCTAAATATGAAGTTAATTAATAGGTATAAACTGAGAGCTCCTGTGGTTGGTTATTTGAATTATTTATTTTATAAAATTTTTAATATATATTATGTATAAAAAAACTAAATCAATTTAATAATTATATTTTTTTTATTTATCACATTTATTTATTAAAAAAATAGATAATTTATTTTCTTGAACGCATCTGATGTCTATTTTTTTTATTATAGATAAATGTTATAAATTAAAAATATTATAATAATCAGAATAATTTAATTTTTTTTATAAATAATATACTCACAAAATTTTATAAAATAAATAATTTTAATTATTAAAATGAGATCCTAGCAACCATCACCAACACAAACATAACAATGGCTAAATTTATAAAATTGAAAAAAATCCAACCCATAAAACATTGTAACAAGATTACAAAATCTCCAATTGCTGGGCCATTCCTAATTGCTTGTCTGACTTGCTATATTTTTCGTTTTTTAGTAGAGTTTTTATTTGGAAAAATTACAATTGAGTAGTATTTTTATAAAATAATTATAAATTTATAAAAAATTTAAAAATAAAAATAAAAATATTTATAAAAGAGAAAATTAATTTAACATTTCTTTCTAATTTTTAGTAAGACCATCTCTAAAGTTGCATCAGACTCAGCATCAAATTTGAATTTGATGAAAAAAGTCACATTTTTCCTCTCTAATGTTTTCACAAAACTGATATCAAACTGAGAATGAAACAAAAATTTCATCAAACTGAGAATACGCGTAAGATTTCACCATTTTACTGTGCAAGAACTTGGAGGTGGGGCCACCGGTCAACCGGCCGGTTGACCCACCAGTTGACTGGCTCCTTTCAAATAAGTAGGTTCAAACAGGATCCAAAAGGTTCAAACAGGCTAAAAAAAAATTTCTTCACCTTACCGGTCGACCGGCTGGTCATCCCACCGGTTGTCCCCAGCCAGTATTATTTTGATGCAATCGTTGGAGGAGGTAATACCAAATTGAGAAAATCACTATTTTTTTCATCAGATTTGATGAAAAAAAAAGTTCATCGTTAGAGATGCTCTAAAGAGAGAGGCTCATAATATATATATTTTTTTGTAGTCTTAAATATTTTTATTTGTAAGAATGTAAGATTTGAATAAGTATTAAAATGGTTTGACTCATGACATGGGCTAGTCTTAACAACATCCATAAATAATGGTTTAAAATCTAAACATCTTAGAGATGCCCAAATACTAGCATTCACATAAGTGATTGGCACCGATTAATTTTGTACCACTGAATTAGCTCTAATAAGTTGAAAAATAAAAAAAAAAAAAGAAAAAAAAAAGAGAGTAAAAAAAAAAAAAAAAAAAGAGTAAAACGTCCCATCATATAAGACCTATATCAACATTAAAGCTATTAGTGCTCCTCTTTTAATAATCTCAACCATTTTTGTTTTTTTGAAACATAGTTGAGGTGTGATGATTAGACACCCATGAACAATTTATAGACATGGATTATAATATCGTTAGATTATTATACTATTTCAATGTCGTATTTTATTGTTTTTTATACACATCTGTCAATGGTTAAGGAATTCCATAGATCAAGCCTACGAGCATCTCCAGCAAGAATACTCAAAATAGTTATTTAAAATTTTACTTTACTATTTTAATTAGTCATTTTTTTAATATGTATTCCAACAAGGCTATCTACTTTAGCTATCTTTCTCCTTTTAAATATTATTTTTTATTTTTTATTCTTTCAAATATAATATTTATTAAAAAAAAAGAAGCTAAAGAGGGCACTTGTCCAGAGATCAACGCGAGGAACGAAAAAAATAATAAAAAATTATGAGGCTAGAGCACAGTGTCTCATCTTCTTTGACGAGTTACTGTAGCACAAAATCATTTTAGCAAGCTTCTGATGAGGCTGTTGGAGACTCATTTTCAAGCTTGAAACTAATTAAAATAACAAAATTGATGATATAACGATTCTGCCGGAGATGCTCTAACAACACGATACTTGGTAGCACAAGTGGCCTGTTTCAATGTTGTATTTTGTTGTTCTTTTACGTAAATTTGGTCTCGAAATTACCATTCTTCTCTTACCTTTAATATTGTGTTTGATTGGAAGATTTGAGAAGAGATTTAAAAAAAAAAAAGAAAGGAAAAGACAAGTGAAATGTGAATAAAATATACCTATATTTCACATTTTTCCTTTTCTTTTCCAAATCATTTTTCAAATTTCCCAACCAAACATAGCGGAGAACTATTTCATCAATGGCTTAGGGGTCATCCTCAATTACAAAAGGATGATATCTCTTTACGTGAAAGATATCATTTATTGTTGTTTTTTCTACAGAATTTGAAATTCCTTGGATTTGGCCGTTGGGATATCCAAGCTGATGATATAGTTCGCGATGGTTGAACGGGTCGGACTGATCCACGCTCTTTAAGCCTATGTCCGAATGACCAAGCCCACCTGAAAACCTGCACAAGAGTTCAACAGGGAACGGGGAGTTCCCTTGCGATCCCTCCGACGAGCAAGTTAGAGAGAGAGAAGTGGAGTGTAGAGATGGAGTAGAGATAGAAAAACTTAACCTTCTTCTTGTCTTCCACGTTTGCTTATATCCTCTAGTAATCATTTCGTTGTCCTTTCCGACCTGTCACCTTGGCCGAAAGTCTATGCTGTAACTTACCTTGTTCAGGGTGAGGGCGTGCCGTCTTGATGGAGAGGGGTTATCGCAATAAATGTTATAAGGGGGCTTCATTAATGGCGATGTGGCATAGCAATAACTTTGCAGATCTTTGCAGTTCGTGATGGTTGAATGGGTCGGACCGATCCACGCTCCTTAAGCCTATGTCCGAATGACCAAGCCCACCTAAAGACCTGCACAAGAGTTCAACGGGGAATGAGGAGTCCCCCTACGAACCCTCCGACGAGCAAGTTAGAGAGCGAGAAGTGGAGTGTAGAGATGGAGTAGAGATAGAAAAGTTTAACCTTCTTCTTATCTTCAACGTCTGCTTATATCCTCTGGTAATCATTCGTTGTCCCTTCTGACCTGTCACCTTGGCTGAAAGTCTATGCTGTAGCTTATCTTGTTCAGGCTGAGGTCGTGCCGTCCCGATGGAGAAGGGTTATCGCAATAAATGCTGTAAGGGGGCTTCATTAATGGCGATGTGGCATAGCAATAACTTTGCAGATCTTTGTCTGCTGATGTGGCTTGCCTTTCTCTTGCCATGTGTCTTGATGTCTTTGGTTCTTATTGCTATGTGGGGCTTCAGCGGTGCTGGGCTTCATTAATTGTATTAGGTATTGGGCCCTAAGAGGTGGGCTTGGGTTGTTTATAGTGGGCTGTAGCCTCTATGGGCCTACCTATGTCAATAGTCCCCCATTCTTAGGTGCAGCTTTAGTCCAACGAAGGGAATAATGAAGAAAATGAGGGTTGTTAGAGACCGACAGGATGGAGGCCGACCGATAGGAGTGACCGAGTGGATGGACCGACCATGAGGAGGGCCGGGCGCAAAGGGTGGCCGAGTGGAGGGACCGACCATGAGGAGGGCCAACCGCGGAGGGTCGGCGAGTGGAGGGATCGACCACGAGGAGGGCTGACTCGATGGGTGGCCAAGTGGAGTGACTGACCATGAGGAGGGCTGAACGCGGAGGGTCGCTGAGTGGAGGGACTGACCACGAGGAGGGCCGACCGTGAAGGGTAGCTGAGTGAAGGGATCGACCATGAGGAGGACCGACCGCGAAGGGGGAGGTGGCGGGGTGCGGGGCTCGAAAGGTGGCGGGTCACGTGGTGACTTGAAGTGGAAAAGACAGGGTAGAGGAAGCGGGCAGTGAATCATGGCTATACACGTGGCAGAATCACGTGGTGGGGAAGGTGAGGCGTTGGGCCAGAAGTGAAACGAAAGGTCATTATGTGTGTTGAAAAGACAGTTTTGGCGAATGGTTGAAAATTTTTCAAACTGGCAAAAATTAATTGTGATCCTTGGAATACAGGCAAGCCTTGGGCTTTTGGTATTACACGTTTTATTTACCTTTTTTCGAAAAATCAAAACATTATAAGTGCAGACTCCTTCGTTGCAAGTGATACACCCTTGCGACATTTTCTAAATTTTCTTGCGCCCGCATCCGAAACTATTCGTAGACACACCACAGAAATGGCCCAAGAAAATATTGCAAACGCCAGGGTTGATCCATTGGGGGACGACGATGAGGTGGATTTGGCAGAGCAATACAGGACGGAGAGGCAAGTGGGGAGTGGAGGGAGCCGTCGGGGCGACCTCGCTCGTCCACAATGATGGCGGCGCCGATGCCAATCAGCCAAGTGGAGCCAGATCACTGGCATACAAAGGCCGATAAGTCGATCATTACCGCGAAGGAGCTGGAGGGTATGAGGGAGAAGTACCAGATTCCCGCAGAGATAGAGTTGAGACTGTCGGAATCAAAGGAGAGGGCATCCGATGTTCGACCGGGGAAATTCACCCTATACGAGGAGGCGCTAAAGGGGGGTTTGAGGTTGCCCTTACCCCGGATA